CACTACATCAATCACATGTACCATACACGACATACAAAATGAATGTATTAAATACGATCTAAGAATTTAGTAAACAAGCCTAACTCGAACTCGACTCGACTCAGCTCGTTAATAAATGGCTCGGGCTCGAGCTCAGCTCATTTGTTAACGAGTCAAGCTCAAGCTGGGGTAAAACTCGGCTCAGCTCGGCTCATTTGCAGCCCTACTATCTGCTGGTAAGGACACCCATTCATGGAGTTGCTAATGGTATTGAGGAATCAAGGACTGATTGCCCTCAAAGCAGCCCAATTTCTAGATTTCCAAATACGCCATAGGAGCGCCACGAGAGCCATAATCTAAGCCGGCTGTGTCATCCTAAGCAAGCATTTTTTGAGGGAAAAAAAGGAAATGTTTGTCTCGGCAAACTGTGCCCCAAATGCTCCAATACTGAATGAGTCCAGAGAGATGTAGTGATTGGACACTCCCAAAAGAGATGCTCCATCGTTTCAGATTTTGCCCAACACATCGGGCATCGAGGCAAAATCTGGACCCTATTCCCAATCAAAGATTCAGTAGTAAGCAGGATACGGTGGAAAATTTTTCATAGGAATAGTTTTAGCTTTGATAGGATCTTGAGTTTCCACAGTCTCATTCAACTTGCCCTATCCATCCAACTCACCATGGGGCGCCACACTCCAACCTATCTATCCACCAAAACCGCCAAGTGTAAGCAGATTTGACAGTGAACACTCCATCACATGTATCATGTCATACCAATCTATCCTCTATACCCATACGGGGCAATGGAATCACCATGATGACACGTACTACATCGGGTGGAAACATCTGCTGAAGAGATTGTCGACACCATCCTCCTTCCTTATGATCTATAAGCTCAACTACCTTTGGGTCATTGCCCTCCGGAATGACACGAGGATTACACAGAAGAGGGTGCGGATGAGTAGACGGGATACAACTAGAATGTTAGATAGAGGCCTAGAGCCCATTCCCAGTTTGCCACCGAAGTCCTCGTTGGAAGAGGAGGCGGCCATGGAGAATACTCTGCCACCCCACGATGGGCGAGACCGCACAGTTGTTGTTAGGAATGTGCCATTTGGAAAGTACTTGCCTTTATATATTGGGCTAAGAGAGAATAAGGTATGTTGAGAATACACCATCCAATCTTAGCCAAGAAGGTTTAATTAAAATGCCCAAACTGCCGAAATCCCATCCCCCATCATGTTTACTCGTGCACAAATTCCTCCAGTAAATCCACCTAATTTGAGGGCGACCCCCTTCCACCCCCACCAAAATCTAGCTACATTCTGATTCATAATGCAACATAGTGAATGAGGGAGTTTAAAGAAGGACATAACATTGAGCGGCAAATAGAACGCAATTGATTTAAGCAATGTCTCCTTAGCCTCCCATGAACACACCTTCTGTTTCCATCCCTGTAGCCGTTCCAACAACATCTCCTCCAAATAACGGAAAGTAGTCATCTTGGACTGAGCAATCAAGGTGGGTAAGTCCAAATATTTATCATGAACTCCTACTGCTCCTACGCCAAGCTAGAGAGAAAGGGTTTCTTGATCCACCGATAGAATATTCTTACTAAAGAACACTGCGGATTTAGCCAATTTGACCCTTTGCCCACTAAGCTCATCATATTCATTCAAGACCTCCAGCAGGTTATCACATTCTTGCATCGATCCTCTAAGAAATAGATATGAATCATCGGCAAAGAACAGATGAGAAACACTCAGGCCTCTAGAACTAACCCGAACGCCTGCTAGCTTCCGCTCCTCAATGACCTTGCATATGAGCGGCGCAAAACCCTCTATGCAGATGACAAAGAGGAGGGGAGACAAAAGATCGCCCTGCTGAAGTCCCCGAGTCAAGTTAAAATAACCAGCTGGTGACCATTCATAAGAATAGAAAACGAGGAGGACACAAGCATTCCTCAATCCATTGCACCCAAGTCAGATTAAACCCCATTTTTCCTAAAATCGCAAGTAAGAACGACCATTCGACTCTATCATAGGCCTTCTCCATATCAACCTTAAGAGCCATATACCACTTCTTACCCTTAGTCTTAATCTTAAGGTAATGCATCAATTCGTGATCAATGAGAACATTATCCATTATCTGTCTTTCACGAATAAACGCGTTCTGTCCCGACAAAATTATCACGGGGAGGAACCACGCCAATCGTTTAGACATAATCTTGGCAATGATTTTGTACACGAATTGACATAAACTGATAGGTCTCAACTGGCGCATATTCTCCACATTATCCACTTTGGGAATAAGTGTTATCCAAGTGTGGTTAAAGTTTCGTAACATCCGTCCTGTCCGAAAAAAGAGAGCAGATAGCTTCCACCATTGATATCCCAGAATGCACGAAAGAATTTTCCAGTGAACCCATCCGATCCCGGAGCCTGGGTGCATCCAATCGACAAGACTGTTGCGGGATTTCCGACACCAGAACCTCAGCGGTCATAGTCGCATTCATCTCCTTAGTTATCGTCCGAGAAATAGGTAGATCAGCCACACGGGCCTCCATATTCTCGACATGGTTCACAGAGGTAAAGAGGAGCTGGAAGAAATCAACATAAATATATGCCTTCCCCTTCTCATCGATGATTCACTCATCATTCCCACTCCTCAGCGCAGCCACACGTCACTAAGCAAAAATGTCGAACTTGTGAGAGAAGTAAGAGACAAATCCAGGGAATCAAGGGAGAAGAATAAGCACAAACTGTCGATAATGAGTATGGATCTTTCTCAAATAGTCCTCGAACTTGAAGTTCCTATCAAAGAAAAAAAAGATGATCCAGTTATAGGCTAAATGATGTCTCTTATTATACCTCCTACTTGTAAGCTTTTAAGTAGTTTGATTTTTGCTTGATGTATGCTTTACTTTAACTAGTTTGGTTTATGATTGATGTATGCTTTAGTTTGAGTGTATTGTTTTAACTAGTTTGATTTATGATTAATGTATGATTTATTTGTAGTGTAACTCTTTAATTATTAATGCAACTACTTTTTTTATTAAAACACTACAACAAGGGAAAATGCATCATATAACACGGGTGCATGAGAAATACGTTAATAAAAATCAAAAAGTACATATAGTAGACTTAGGACATATAACATATTCAACTAATATAAGTGCATAAGCTAAACTTAGGACATATCATATCTCTACTAAGGCAAAATACATATGTATAGCCATAATTATTGACTTTGTGACAGTAATAACCAATTTTTCAGAAATACACAAAATGTCTAATTTTGTCCAAAACTTAATGGAGTCATTTTAGATGATGACTGGACTAACGGTTTTGTTGACTTGGCGATGCTCAATTAAAAAATATTGCCAGGTGGAATTAACTAAATTCACTTGCATAGTCACAACTATCGACTTTGTGATAATAATAGGCAATTTTTGAGAAATACACAAAATGTCCAGATTTTGAAACATGTTTGACAAATTTAGCCATTTTCGTTAAAACTTTATCGTGATTATGTCAATTGCATTAACAAGATGTTGTCATGGATCTCATCTTGATGCACAGGTCAGCGACAACTCGACATTGTCAAGTAAGCAGAAACGTAAGTCCGGTCAGCATCTAAAATGACTTCGTTAAAATTTTGGACGAAATTGGACATTTTGTGTATTTATGAGAAATTGTATATAATTGTCACAAAGTCGATAGTTATGCCTATACATGTGTATTATGGCATTAAAGTATGATGCGACTTCCTCGTCAGCATTATGTTGATGTAACTTACGAAATCTCTAACAACGATAAAGTTCTTAACTAAAGTGGCTAAATTTGTCAAACCTATTTCTAAAATCTGGACATTTTGTATATTTCTCAAAATTAATTATTATTGTTACAAAAGGAATTAGAATGTCAAATTTAACCCAATATTTGACTCGAAAACTATTTAATGAACAAATATGTATCACGAATAAGAGAAAAATACAATTTTACGTGTCAACCATCCACGAAGTAGCTTCTTTATCATAGCGAAGCTCTTTTGTTTTTTTGGTGGAACAGAGCAAAGCTTTCAATGTCAGAGTGCATTTTGCAAAGCGGAAAGCCAGAAAAGCATACTCCATTGGCGACCCAGAACCTTTCCCACTTCCCACCATAGTCAGTTAGCCACCGCGGCACCGCCGGCCGGCAACTCTCACTTTCGCATTAACACTCACCGGGGGGAAATTGAGCTGATTCGTCGCTCCATGGATTTCAACTTCTGGAACTCCAGAGTCCATTCCGCAAAGCACTTCTCCCCTGTACAAGCCGCCAAACAATACTACTCCGGTACTGTACTTTACCCCTTTCTTCACTACTTGGGCGCTTCTTTTCCATGCTAAAGTTGTCATCTTTCCGGCTGTTTCTCGATTTGTTGGGAGATATTTCCAGTTCTAATTTGTTTAACCTCTGAATCTTAGCATTAGCTGTGTGATTAGGAACAATCTAAGAAGCTTTTCATGTTCCTTTTCCCAGTATCTGCTTGTTTAGGTATCTGATGTCCAGAAGGTTTCCTTCTTGCTTGCGGATTTAGAGCTAAATGATATTGATCTTTGTCGAAATTGAGGAGATGGGTTTGCGAAATTTGTTGTCTTTTTTTTTTTTTTTTTGGGTTGTCCTCCTGGTAAACTCGGAAAGTTATGGCTTTTAAGGCAAAAAAATTAATGCTCCTGGATTACACTCTGGGAATCAGAAGGAGATGCACTACGTGGACAGTCCCAGGCAAAAATCCAGCGTCGGAGTTGAGCGTTGCACAATTTAGGTTAGTTCATAAATCTCCATCCTTAATTTTTTTCCAAGTGGTGGTGTTCGATTAGCAGAACGCGATAAACGTTCACTGGTTTACTTGCCTAGTATGCCAACAAATGCCAGATTTCTACCGGGGGTTTTATAAGCCGTCGTCAGATATTTTAGAGATGGAATTAGGGCTAGAGAAAGCAGCAGCTGCCGCAGCATCTAGCCTGGAGAGCAGATTTCGAGGCTGTGATGTTAGGAGCGATTCTTTTTTGAGGGTGGGGGGTTTCTATAGCCAGGGGAGAAGCAATTTGCTATTGCTTGAAGAATGTCAAGTTATAGTGTTGTGGTTGATCAGAGCGGTGAGTATCATGGATTGGATTCTGAAAGTGAAGATGAAGACGTGTTAATTGAGAAGATGATGGAGGCACTCAATAGATGGGACTTGGGACTGCCTCATGAGGTCGATTCCGACAATTTGGCACTGCAATCAGCCACAAACCAGCAGGAGGATGGCGTTGATGCCTCGGATGTGGGTAGTGAGGGTGATTATGATGGGATGATACCCCAATATGACAGTTTCCCTGATGAAGGTGCTTTTTCAGAAGTGCTGTTTTCCCCCTAACTATGCTTGACCAGAATGATTTAATCTGTTTTCAAAAATTAGATTTGAATTTTGTTTCAAGGTGTGGTTGCTTCAGCTATGTCCCCAGAAATGATCCACCAAAAATGAAAGCTTGCTTCCTCTTATTGATTTACTGGAACTGTTTCTGGATCTGATTGGAAAGGGTTCGAGTAAAGGGAGTCTGTGTGGATTGTATGATGGATTGGTGAATGTCTTGATTGCGAGATCCACTAATATATGAGCGAATTCATGACTCCTTGCTGCTAAATGTGTATAGAGTTTTTTTCTGATTCTGTTTCTGCTATTCGGCTCATAGAATTCGGGTTGCTCATCTTTAGTTTACATGTCAAGTTGTCTGTGCTCATCTCTTTGAGTCTTTGTGCCTTTGAGGGCAATTGTGAGGTTGTTCTTGTAACTTGTAATTCATATGCCCTGCAACCTTATGCTCTCTAGGTTGAATCATGTCCTAACCTTTGGCTGCCTTCTTTTTCCTCTAATATCAACAGATAATCATCTGGGACTGGATGAATCCGAAGGGGAAGAGGATGCCAAAGCTTTCTTTCCGTGCCCTTTTTGCTATGTGGATATTGACGTTCATGTCCTGTGCACCCATCTCCAGGATGAGCACTGCTTCAATCTGCGAAATGCTGTATGTGCTTCTTTTTCTATTGTATTATTATATACTTCAGTACTTTGTTTATTGTAGCTCTCAGTGTACGTGCGTGCGTGCATGCATTTGTATGGTGTAATTTAGTCGTAACGCCTGTCATTCTGATACGTGGCATTGGACATTTTAATTCTTTCGCTTCAGGTATTAAAGTTAGCACCATCGTTATTTATTACATGTTCTTTTTATGGATTGATTCTTCCATGTTAGGGATGACCCCTGTCCGTGAGCACGTCAATCTTTCAGATTGTGCATATGAGCGTGATCCTTTCTGTTTGGTCATCTGAACAAAGTGGATTTGCAAATGCTAGTACAGCTAGGTTTTGCTATAATAAGACTGTGATTTGAATATAAAAAAGGGGGGATTTGGCCAAATTGGTAGACGCTGCGGACTTAGTTGGATCAACTGATTGAAAGGACCAAGTATTTAACATACGTAGCAGTCACTGCTCGTAGCTTGTGCGATGAATAAACAAGTGGTGGACATGATTGAATGCTCTATAACTTAACTCCTGCATTTCTGTACTCTAGGTGGGAAGGATATAGTTATGCAATTAGGGTTCCCCCCCTCTTAGTTTGCTTCCTTCTAGAGGGTTGAAAATAAATACAGTGGTTCATCAGCTAGTATATCATCTTCTACTTGAAAACTTCATTGATGTCAGAATGAAGTAAATATTCATTCGCTCTGCATTTTGTTCTTTTAATGATGTGCTTGAAGTGATTATTCAAATGGTCATCTCCAGAAACTAGATGATACAGTTATTATACTTCTCATATGACATTTCTAGTGTTTTGCCTTGGCTTTGCGGATTACTTGTCTCATCTATCTAGTTTCCTTATGACTACACTTCTCATTGGAGGAAGAAATGAAGTCTGTGCTTGATTTCTGCTCCCTTTTTCTAAATCTGTGTATGTAGTAGTTTACTAATTTACATTATGACCTTGTATATGTTTATGGAAAACATAGAAGCGGCTTTAGCTCTGAATTACTACACAAAGGGTGACAGGAACGAGGGCTGTTATCATGAGCACACACTTAAAACATGGTAAATCGTTCGTTTTGCTTCCTTCTCTTATGAAACTGAGTGGCTTGTGTTCATTTTCCAGGTGTGCCCCCTCTGTGCAGCAAACCTTGGGAACGATGTCATTGGACATTTCATAGTGCAACATGCCAGCTCATTGAAGGTAGTATTATATCTATGTATTTCAGGATTTGCTTGCAGACTCTAACATTAAACCAACAAATAGTGGTGCCTTGCGTCTTTTATTTTAAGTCATATTATCATTTGTGAACTGTGAAACTGGAGTTTAACTCAATCGAGCATTTGGCCCTATCTTCATGTTCTGTGCAGAAAAGAAGAAAAGCTCACAGGTCTGGCCCATGGACTGGTGGAAGCAACTCAGCTGTGTCTGGCAGGGCACTGAGTTCATTTGGTGGCTCGTCAACAACTAGCAGCATTGGAAACATATCCGAGTTGGCCCCTGATCTCTCGCCGTTCTTGGGCAGTGTTCCAGAGTTGGACTCAAGGAGCTGGCAGCAGCAACAGCAGGATTCATCTGAGAAACCTAGCTCTGGAACTCATTTGAAAAGGTACGAGTTTGACAGTGTCATTTTAGGATATCAAGTTTGCTGACATGACAACTGAATACTCACCCAAAATGAAACGTTTGTGGGCAGCAGTGGAGGCGAGTTGTCCGTCGATGATAGGTTGGATCGTGAAGAGAGAGCTCAGAAGGCTGCGTTCATTCAGGAATTGATTGCATCGACTATCTTCTGATTCCCCCTTCTCCTGAGTCTCCCTGCTGAGGATTAGGTATTTAGGAAGCTAGAAAGGTGTGAGCCGGGTGATACTCGAGGTCGAGTAATGGGGGATGATGGCCAGAAACATCTAAAAGATTGGCAGTGATATATCGACATGTAGCTGTATCGTTGTTTGTTATAGCATATATGGCTGAGACTGATTAAGGACTGTTACCATTCCAGAAACAGAAACAATCTTCTTCGAACTTAAATGCGAAGAAAGCAATTTAGCATGATATGATATTATTGATATCTCTCCTCTTTTGCGCTATCAGATCCATCATTTTACTGATTATGTTAGAGACTTTGAGTCATTTGCTAGCCTTGCAATCTGGTCGCTTCAATAACTAAAAGGGAAAGGCTTTCCTATTAAAATTAAAAATATGATAGGAAAGCCTTCTGCGCTCAATCAGAAGGCTGTTCAATAATTTATCAACCCAATATGATTTTTATTTGTTGATGTAAGGAATACAAATTCGATTCAGTCAATCAAGAAATAATTGTCTTTTTGTCTAAACTTATCATAAAATTGTATTGCAAGTACCCAACATTTAACATACCAACTAATAATAGTTCAATAACCTAATTTTGACTCATATCCTCAAACCTCAATGGAGGTTTGTAAGTCTTAGTGTAATATCTTGTGTCATGATTTTGATATTCAGTTGGTTCTATTATGCAATATGCACCAATCTATCATTTTAAATATTTTGTCTAGTCCTTGTATTAGAAAGACCGAATACACTATGGTTCTATTATGCAATATGCACCAATCTATCATTTTAAATCTTTTGTCTAGTCCTTGTATTAGAAAGACCGAATACACTAAGAAGAATGATCAATGATCCTGACTCTTCGAAATTCGAAATAAATCCATAGCAAAGCCCGCCACTGTCTAGGATTGAGCATATACAAGTGATTAGTGTTACTCTAATGTGTTGAAATGAAAGTCCTTGCAATGGTATAAAGGTCCTCCATTGTTGAACATTGTTCACCATTCTAAAGCCCAAATGAGTCGCAAGTCTCAACAGACCAGTCAAAGTCTCAGAGATCAGAACATCAAATGGTAAGCCTAACAAGAATCAGCTACATGAAGGCTGACGACATTTTTTGTGTGTCTGACCTGATCAATCATCTATAGGATAACCCAAACTAAATGGTTGAGTCGGGGATGGAGCGAAAAAAGCGAGATAAGTATCACAAGGACATCTGCAGACAACATGATCCAAGGCTAGAGCACCATCACAATGAAATGGTCTGCTTAATATCCTCCTAGACAAGAAACAAATCGTTCTGACTTAACATCCAACACTGTCGACTTCTAAATTGCTTATCAGGCAATCTAAAATTGGTTATGCTAAGCAACTGAAAGGGTCACAAAGGTCTGCAGGTGTTAAACCAAAACGACAGTCAAACAAATATCCAGAGAAAGAGGCATAATCCGACATTGACAAGTCACATTTGAATCATTGCAAGAATTTCCATCTAAACTAAGCATCATGGGGAAAGTGCAAAAGAAGAACAAAGCTGCAAAAAAAAGTATATGGCATGGCATTCAGTGTTCTCAAAAGTTGTTCCCGAAAATGATCAAACTGACTTGCATACAGTGGAGGACATAGGAAGGAGATCGAATTCCTCAGAGAAGAATCAAATCCAATCCATTTCGGCCCTCTTCCAAAACTAATCTTACTCAAGGATTTTCTGGATAACACCAGCTCCAACGGTCTTCCCTCCTTCTCTGATAGCAAACCTCATCCCTTGTTCACAAGCAACGGGCATAATGAGCTCCACCACCAACTTCACTCGATCGCCGGGCATAACCATCTTCGACTCCTCATCCTTATCGTTCATAATCGACGAAACCTTCCCGGTGACATCAGTGGTTCTCATGTAAAACTGCGGCCTGTAACCTGCAAAAAACGGGGAATGCCTCCCTCCTTCTTCCTTTTTCAAGACATAGACAATGGCTTCAAATTTAGTGTGGGGAGTAATGGAGCCCGGTTTAGCCAACACCATCCCTCTCTGAATATCAGCCTTCTGCACACCTCTAAGCAACAACCCTACATTGTCCCCAGCCAGAGCCTCATCCAAAATCTTCTGGAACATCTCAACTCCAGTAACAGTGAAATTCCTAGTATCTTTCAAACCCACAAGGTCAACTGTCTCACCAACCTTAACGGTTCCTCTTTCAACCCTGCCAGTGGCCACAGTGCCACGACCTGTGATGGAGAACACATCTTCCACAGCAAGCAAGAATGGCAGTTCAGTCTGCCGCTGTGGGATGGGAATGTACTCATCCACAGAATCCATCAGCTGATAGATTTTATCAACCCATTCGTTGTCCCCTCGCTTAATGGCTGGATTGGCCATCAAAGCTTCCAAGGCCAAAAGGGCCGAACCAGAGATAATTGGGATATCATCACCAGGAAATTCATAAGAAGACAACAGCTCACGAACCTCCAATTCGACCAATTGCAGCAGCTCCTCGTCGTCCACCTGGTCCTGCTTGTTCAAGAACACCACCATGTTGGGAACCCCGACCTGCTTGGCGAGCAAGATGTGCTCCTTGGTCTGGGGCATGGGCCCGTCTGCGCCGGAGCAGACGAGGATGGCACCGTCCATCTGCGCAGCGCCGGTGATCATGTTCTTGACGTAATCGGCGTGGCCGGGGCAGTCGACGTGGGCGTAGTGGCGGTTCTCGGTCTCGTACTCGACGGTGGCGGTGTTGATGGTGATGCCGCGGGCTCTCTCCTCGGGTGCGGCGTCGATCTCGTCGTACTTCTTGGGCGCGCTGTTGCCCATGGAGGCGAGGGCCATGGTTAGGGCGGCGGTGAGGGTTGTCTTGCCGTGGTCGACATGGCCAATTGTGCCGATGTTGAGGTGGGGCTTCTTCCGCTCGAACTTTCCCCTCGCTGCTCGGACTGTGAAGGAGGCTTCGCCGCGGTGGCGGGGGACGGAGGTGGTGGTGGTGGGTAGGAAAGGGGAGATGAAGGAGGAAGAGAGGAGGGTCAATTTGGTAGGTTTCGAGGCGAAGTTGAAAGTAGCGGCCGGAGAGGAGGGGGAAGCGGCGGCTGGTGAGTAGACGGCAGCTAGCCTTGAGGAAGAGGAAGCTGTGGCGGAGGCGGAGATTGCCATGGCGGAGGCGGAGCAGAGAAGAAAGGAAATACAGAGAGTTTTTGGGAGGGGATTGGGTTTGTTATCTGATTGGGGATTGGGGCGTTTGTATCCACTCCACTCCTTTTAGACTTGAGTTTACTAGACGCCTTCTCGAGTTACTTAGCTGAACGCCGTTTTTTTAGTTGGGGGAACGAGAAGATAAACTAGGATGCGGTACGGGTGTGCAACGGTCTGGACCGGTTCATGAGAATTGCGATTTAATTGTGAAAAATATTTTATAATCAAGACGTAAAATCGAATCCAACAATGGAAGGGAACAGAAAAAAGAGGTTTTTTTTGCCACCAAATGAGCAACCTTTTTACAACGACGACCCACAAATTGAACTTCAAATTGTTCAAACTCATTAACCAACTCCAGAATATCCTCCGATATCGCACATTGCTACCATTATAATTAGGACTATTCGAGACTTCACTAGGATCAGTTATGGCATTAAAATCTCCTAGTATAGCCACTAATGCACCTTAACCCTGATAAGATCTTTATAGAATTGCCTCCTTCCTGCTTCCTTGTTAGAAGCATATACAAATGAGACAAAGAGAGGAATTCCTGAACTCTTATATCGAAATGAACCGGCACAAATCAATTGTATCACCAGTTGTACCATTTCACTTGCTAAACCGACCCAACGACATAAATTGGTTTGAGAAACCAATTAGAAGTACTAGGAAGCTATAATAAAAGACACTTTAACAACCTGTGGGGTTTCTGCAAGGTTTAGGGAGTTTTCCTTGAGTTAAATGAAAGAAGAGGAAGATGCATGAGAGTGTTGAAATAAAATATTCTAAGGATGAGTGTTTCTATCACAAATTTACTAAACATTGACAACTTTGCTTATGGAACACCAACAGATTATATCGAACTTATTCAAAATTGCACAAATTTATTGATATTTTCGGGGCAAAACTATGAATTACAAGCTAACAAAATTTAGCATTGGCATATGGCAAAATAATATTATTTGACTATTGATTCTAACACAACAAACACAAACATATGTGTGACTATGACTTATTCATATGATAATAGGGTGACTACTTCGGTGCACTCACAAAAATGAGTGCGCTCAATGCACCCAACTCAAAAACTAGTCTTAAGGTGTCGAATTTTGAAGTTTAGTTTGTAGAATTAGTGTACTATGATGATATAACATATGATAACAACTAATTAGTGGATTACTCTAACCTTAGACCTCCAATTTTGAGTTTTATCCGTAAACCCCAAATTATAAACCCTAACCCTAACCCTAAATCTCTAAACTTGAAATCCTTCAAATTAAAGTAAGTCTTTAATGGGTTTTGTGCAAATTCATGTGCGTTATTGTTCATCACGTCATAAGTGATGATTGACATCATTTTGACATAAATCGCATGTTTAAAATGACGGTTATGAAGCGAGTGCACTGAATGCACCCAAAAAAGTGGGTGCACCGAAGACGCCACCATGATAATAGTGTTATATATTGTTTTTATATAATGTATTTAGAATCCAATTAAATGACTTATCTTATATGTATTGTACAATGTTTATGAAATATTAGCAAAGATTAAAAATTATATTATCTTTTCATATTTCCACATAAGTTCGATACGAATTAATTTATCGGTATTTGAATTTCCGGAGTGTTACTTAAATGATGATACATGTTGCATCATCCAAGGCCAGGGCCTCTATACAAGTGAGAAAATTCATATAAAATCAATTCAAGTTGAGATTCACCTCCAAGGCGAAAAAAGGATAAAGTATATTTCCATTTCACTCGTAAAAAAAAGTGAAGAAAACCAACAATTTGTACATTTCATACCCATGTATGTGTCACATAGGGAAAAAAATTGAGGAAAATTTAAACCTTATATACAAGTATACAATTAGCCAAAATTACTTACAAGAAAAAAACAAGAGATAAAGAAACTGTTGCTACAAACTTTGACGATCTTTCACCCTAGCATTGTACTATGTAAAATATTAATTTTAATGTTGCTTCCACTTTTTTGCGTGAGCCAAGAATCACAATAAATACTACACATCCTTCTACTCCTCTACATAATTGACTCGCAAGCCTAATAATCTTGAGCAAGTACCATTCCATTAAAATTATGCATAAACTTCCATATTTTGCCAAATGATTGCTAGAGGTCCAATGATGTTCACAAGCCATCAACCCCTCCATTATCCTTTTAGAATCATCATCCATTGTGAGGAAGTCTCCTTGAAAGCATCAAGCTAGTCCAGTCACATCCACCATCTAGTTGTTGCAGAATGCTAGACAGACCACTTCTACAATTAAATTCCTCACATGTTATTGCTCCTAGGAATCCTTGATTTAGGTAGTTCTAAGGTACAAGTACTCAATATATCCCTACGAATTCCAGGAGAGAGTTCACTTAAGAAGTCTAAGATGGCTACTTCGTGTTTTCTCTTTAGTTCATCCAATTCCTCATGTTGTTTTTGCAACAAATGCTTAAAATTTTCACCCACTACCTTAACATCTAATTCAACTGTAGTTTCAATCCCAGTAGAATCTGAATCTTTACGTTCGTTATCATCATTTGCAGTTGTCCCAACAACCAATATTTCATGTGAATCAACACCACTATCATGATGGTCGTGTTCATGAATCGAGTGAGAATCTTCATGATCTGCTAAACGAGATGGTCCAGACCTTTTTGGAGAGCTTAGTCCGACTCCCTTAGGAGAGTCTGACCAATATTTCCTCCCCGAAGGCAATATTTCCAACGCAAGGGCACTTGATGAGCAAGTTGATTCATTAGAAAAGGGAGAGCCTTCATCCTTATTTTCATCATCTTTGGTCTCATTATCAAATGCCTCTGCATCTATAGTGTTTCCACCCTCATCATTTGGCTCAGATGCCCAGTTTGGAATATGAGATCGAATTTCTGTATCAATCATTTCAGCAATCATCGATACATCTTGATCAGTTAAGTCCAACTCCTCAACCATTTCACTTGCAACAGCAAGTGCCGTATCCACTTCAATATCAAAAGGGAAATGGATATTGCGAAAATGACCTGAAAAGAATTAGGGATATTAATTTTTCAAATATATTTGTTAATAAATTGTACAAAATAAAAAAAATGTCAAAAAAACTATCTCTTGTGGGAAGGGGCGAGAGAGAACCTGTAGAGTCTGCAATTCGTAACTTCAAGAATATTGTATTTACATCTTTCCTCTGGCCTTGTACAATGAAGTCTCTAGTGTGATCACTTGAACAATCTCCTCCAATTCTTAAAAAATTGGTTTGATCAATGCTTCCACTCCCAGATTCTTGTAAATGGAAAACAACAATATCACATTTATTTTATTAAAACATGAAGGACTCATTTCACCAACAAGTTCATCAAAAAACAAGTTCATCTATCAGCCCACTACCAAAAGCTTGACAGCATATGAAAATAACATTAAGGTTGAATGCCACTTTAGTCACATTGATTTGCAAAGGATTGCATGAATGTATTTATTTCTTATACTATTTCAGTAGTATTTCTTCAAGTTTCTCCAACATTGACTTTATGAGAAACCATGATGTTGGGATTCTTTTATTTTATTTTCTATTTCTACCATAAATTTTAAAATTTCAACATTCATCTAAGTGGCGAATGAAAATAAATTATTGCTTAAGTCCTCCATGTTACCATCGACTACATGAATGATGTAATTGTAATTCTATTGCGCAACATGAATCATATTCTCACAACTCGTTAACAAACTAAGAATAATTCCAGATGATGATTTCTCCTCACATGACAAAAGCACAACCTAACGAGAAAGTTTTTACTACCATTTCAGTTCATTCACGACTGTACCATATTTGAAGGCTTAAGTAGTCAAACGCATCGAAGAAATATTAGAGAGAAAGATACAAAAATGAAAAGAGAAATAAAACATTGCATAAACCTTGCACATATTATATTAAGAGGTCGGTGAAAGTACCAGATAAATGGGTAGCATTTGATTGTATACCATGAGCTACAGATTCACTTTCTTCATCTGATCGGAGAAACGGATCAATTAAGAGTTCTCTAGCAGATAATCGATCAGCGACACTTGCTATGCACTTTTGAATAAATGCTTTCACACTCTGATCTTGTACCTTTGCTAATGATGCTGGTTTTATACCCTAAAAGTAACCAAAATAGTAGTTTCAATTACAACACTAATGAAAGGCCCCAAAGTCAAAGATAACGCTTATGGATTCTATCCATGCACTTGTTTTAGTTTCAAACCTTATAGATCCTACAATTGGTATGACAAAGAAAAACTACAATTTTTTTATTAAACGACAGGGAAAAAACTGATGTACTTAACTAAATTTTGCTATGTAAATAAATCAGAAATGCACATAAAGCATACAAATCAACCCTTACCGATGTCACTTTCTTATATATTTGAGCAGCATTTGAACATTCTACATATGGATACTCAAAGGTGACTAGCTCCAACAAGCACATGCCAAACGCATAGATGTCGACAAGCTCATTGTATTCCTCCTCATACAACTCAGGTGCCATGAACTCAGGTGTACCTAAAACCAAACAAGTAATGAGGTTTATGATTATCAACAACCATTATCTCACATTCTTAGAACACATAAAAACTGAAACGATGGTCCTAACCAATGACGCTATGAGCTGCTCGAGCCTGCTGAAGAATAGCAGCCAAACCCAAGTCCCCTATCTTCACTTCACCTTGGTTTCCATTAACAAAAATGTTGTCACACTTCAAATCTCTATGGATAACTGGTGGGTCATGACTGTGTAGATACAGAAGTCCTTCTAAAATTTGTCTGGACCATTTCTTCAAGGCTCTTATATCAACGTGCTTATGTTTCTTGCGGTACCTAGTTGGCCAGATCCAAATCACAGCTAAGTTAAATCAAAACTACAATCCACATCCTTAGATTCTATAAGTGGGAAGGATCAGGGAGCTTACTGCCGCAAAGTCCCAGAAGTGAAAATCTCTGTGATGAAGTTGATGTTCTCATTTTTCGTATCAACCCATGAATTGTAAAACTTGATGATGTTCTTATGCTTTAATGTCTTGAGCAAGTGAACTTCAGAATACAAACGCTCCAAATCCACGGAGTTACGCAACAAATCTGCCACCTTCACCTGATTCCAAGCTACCTCTATACCTTCCAATTCATCAAACGCTCTGTATCTGATTTCTCCCTCAAGAGTTTAGTTAAGGCATCAAATAGCATGAAGCCATAATTTAAGCCATAGCCAACAATAATTTGAATATAAGTTATTAAATAAAGCTATGACAACGATTAACTAACAAAAAGGATACACTTTTTTACAAGCACCTTTTCCTAGAATCTCTTTGTACTGCCAACATGAAAGAAACAAGTGAAATGATTATTGACAATACATAAATACACAATGACATAAGATTGAAAGGGATCTAACATTGAGTTGCAAATTAGGAAGAAATCATAACCAATCACGATGATAAAACATTTGAAAGGGTAATTGAGAAAGGGAGGAATGCATACGAACCCGACCATAACGACCAGTGGGATCGACTTCGACGAAATCAACATCAGAATCTTCAAGTTCTTGCTCAGATGACGATTCTTGTGTCATCCTCTAGGCCTGAGGGCTCTATACACGAGCCAAATTACTACAGGCCGATCAATATCTGAACAACAATTACAATGGTAATGAGAAATCGATATGAGACGATTTCGTAAAACAAAATTTCCAAACAATAACGTAGAAATGAGAAATCAAAAATGGGGTTGGGATTTAGAAGATGATAGATGGATCAAAGAAGGAAGGAAAAAAGGGGAGAGAAAGCAGGAGAAACGAGGCGAGACAGGAAAAGGTAAAAGCAAAAATGTGATAATGAGAAAGGGCATTATTGGGTATCTTGTTTCTTGACTGAGCACAAAAAGAAGAAATATTAATTTATTCATCGAAGGGCAACGTGAATGCTCAACATGGTTGTCACGCCGGCCGGCGTGCCACCGGTTGTACCGGGTTCAACCGCTACCGGTCATAAAACCGGCGTGACACCACCGGTATGACCGGCATGATCGATATACGAATCTCTAAGTAAAATGACCTTATTTTAGAGAATTTAATTGATAAAAATTATTTTATTATTTATTTTATGAGTATAAAAGTTAAATATTGATGTTATTTGTTGGATTCAAGTATAAATGTTTAGGTATTGACGTTAAATGTCAACTTTAAATATGAGTATTTATAACTTTATTTGTAATATTGACCGGCATGAACCGGCACAAACCGGTATGTGCCACCGGTTGAACCATTCCACTTGCTAAACCGGCACACTGGCATAAACCGGTTTGACAACCTTGATGCTCAATCAACAGAATTTGAAGCTGGATTTGGAGGTCCTTAGAGTTTTGAATTTTGATTAATAGCAATAGATCCTAAAACTACTTTGTTTTGGTCATCTCAATCCCTAGACTTATTTTATGGGTGAATTAAGTTTCTAAACTAATACTTGTGGATCTATCAATTACCAAAGCTCTTATAGATGGATTCAACAACGTTGGATACAAGTGGTTCACACGTGGCAATATTATTGGTAGATATGACTTCAAATAATATTTAATGAAAACAAAAATACTCAACTCTCATTATCAAAATGATCTTTTGTACCATTAATTATATTTCCATTTCAGATGTTTGAGGTTTAAAATTCATGTTGTTTTATAGTTTCAAAAGCTTAATTATAGGGGACAGGATACGGTGACAACCCCCTTGGGGGTTGTCAGATTCACAACCACCTTTGTGGCCATCGGATACGTTCTCTCTCCTGTCTTTTTCTTCTTTTTTTAAATTAATGGTTAAGATTAAACCAAGGGCAAATTCGGAATGGAAAACTTACCACATGAGATCCTTTCCATTTTCCATATAAATACTTTTTATTACCAAAAAAAAAAAAAGACCCTCCCCCATTCTCCTGCGTCTCCCTCCTCTTCCCCTCTCACATATCTCTAACAAAAAAACCCTAGCCGTCAAGAGCTCCACCACCGTCGCCGCCTCATCCTCCCCTGCCGCCGCGCCGCTGTCCTCCCCTCGCACCCCGCCCCGCCGCTGTCCTCCCCGCGCCGCTGCCCTCCCCTCCCTCTTCCTCTCCCGTGCCCACCGTTCACAGCCTGCTGTCCCCGCCATCATGATCGAGATCTACGCCGCCGCCTGGCTCCGCGACGTCCAGATCGGCTCCGTCCGCGTTCTCATCAGCAACGTCCAGATCGACGTCCAGATCGTCTCTACACCAAGCTCTCTGCCTCCGGCGTCGGCCTCAACGACCTCCTCGACGCCAAGGCCACCGCCGGGGGTGCGAAGAATCTCGATGAGAAGACCGCCAATGCTAGTGGTACCAATTCCTATTGGTACGATACCACTACTCACTGGTACGTACCAGTGGCTCCCCTACCACTACTCACTGGTACCATTATCATCTGGTACCACTATCATCTAATACCACTATTATCTGTTTTTTTTGTGTTATTCTGTACTGGTACCGCTACCAATGCTAGTGGTAGCGCTACCAGTGCTAGTAGCGTTGTGTTATTCTCTACTGGTAGCGTTGTAATGATAGCGTACCACTAGTATTGGTACATTTTTTACTGGTACCGCTAGTACTGGTACATTTTTTAACGTACTGGTAGCGTACCACTAGCATTGGTATATTAATTACCAGTAAACTAATAGATTGGTACACTTTTTAACGCATTGGTACATTTTTTCAGGTTGCCGGAGGGAGTCTGCCGGAGAGAATTCGCCGGAGAAAAAGTTTGTCAGTCGATGCGGAGTGGTTGCTGGAGAAAGGAAGAGAGAGAGAGATAGATAGAGATATTAATGTATAAGATTTAAATTTCAGAAAAAATTGTATTTAATATGGGTATTAAATTCTCAATATAATTAATACAAAAAAAGTAATTAATATATTCATTTTTTTCATACCCAAAATATCTTTGGTTGTGAATCTGACAACCCCCAAGGGGGTTGTCACCGTATCCTGTCCCTAATTATAGTTTATAATTGAAGTCTTTGTACCATAATGATTTAACGACTAAATTGGTCACTCAAACGATAATCTTTGATCATTATTATGAATACATGACAATTAAAAAATTGATTATTTTAATTTTCCATCTCATCACGCTCACACAAACACCACTACCACTAGGAGTAAACGAGCAATGAGGTGTGAACGTGACGGTTGCGAATCTCTGCAGCGGCGACAGTTGTGACACTTTTACCCTCTCCACCGACGCTTTCGACGTCATCGCCAAACACGACGCCGGCCGTGTTCAGATCACCTACAAACGCAGACTGCGGACGATGGCGAGGCGGTTGCGGACGAGGCCAAGGCTGGCGCTGGTGTGACCGACGCATGCGCAGTCGAACGCGATGCAAGTTGCTTTAGGGAGAGAGAACGAGAAAAGAAACAGCCGCGCCGGACAGTCGGAGCAGCGGAGGATTATTCCAGTCGGACTCGATCGGAGCGGGAGCGGATGCAGGGGTGTGTAGATCTGAGGGAGGAGGCGGCGGGGGCGAGAGATGCGACGAGTTGGACATGGGAGATGGGGTAGAAATTGATTGGCAATGGGATTAGCAATCCGCGGAAGGCGATATGATCCCCGGCCAAGAGCGAGGCGCATTCCTTCCATCTCTTATCAAGATCTTCCGCAGTGATGGCGCCGGTCAATTGGATCCCACGCTATCGTGCGCCCTAGCAGTTCTCGCTGCCCAACGCCATCGTGCGTTTCCATCCTGGACTAGCCTCCAGCCATAATTTCTTTTACTAACTTTTTGTAGGGCTTTAAAGGAGCTTCAGCCTGGCGGTGAACGGGTCTTTTTGATGATGACAAGTTTTCCGGCGGACGGCGAATCTACGGTGGTACAGTTGCATTTGTTGGTGCAGTTACACCCCACGATAATGCTTTGGACGGTTACAATTCCACGGCGGTTGTCACAATTCTAAACGCGGGTTCTAACGGCATTCAAACGCAGTAGCTCATATGACTTGTAGAGCATCCCTAGTGGAGATCCGATGGCATTTGAATTTTGTTTTGTCCTTTAAGGAGTCGATTATGTGTTTCTTTTTTTTGCAGGTATCTTGCACATCAAATCTATATATCTAGTCTATTGGAACTCGGCTTATAGGAGACGTGGAGTTCGTACTCGCCAAATTGGTGCTTCAAGAAGTTTGCCGCAAGAAGACTTCCTTTGTGTTTATTTGTTTTTTATGTTTCTAGGCATACTAACAGGGCTGCCCATTGCGTGGCATACACGGCTCTTGCATCGGTAGCAACCCTTTTGGTTGACTACCGCTCTTTCATTTTCACCGCATTGTAACACCCTATCTATTACGAACTATCTATGACAAAAAAAAAACACCACTACCACTACCACTACCACTACCACCATCACTGTCATCTACAAGCTTCATCATCGATGTCGCAACCGCCGCAATCCTTACCTATGTAGCCTTCCTCCATAGCCTTAATCCCTCTCCCTCGCTCTCAAGTGGCTCTACCATTCCCTCTCAACGAAGGATGTCACTTTCATCATCTGCCTAGCCTCCATCCACACACATATTCTACACTTCGGTTTCATGTCCATTGATGTCGTCGTCCCGCCTTCCAACCCTTTGAGTTTTGAGTAAGGACTCGCTCACCAAATCAAACTCACTAAATCTGAAATTGCCTTCGCTACTTCTCAATCAACCGCAAAGTTGCTTCTTCTTGTTCTCCCCTTCCCTTCGCCAACATTATCATCGACTCCCACAATTCCTCTTAGTATTGATTGAATCCTCAATATTTGTTGTTGATCCGTTAATGATGGAGAAAGTGAAGAGAGTGAGATTGCGCCTTCAGAAAATGATTGCACTAACCTCAGGGTACTACTACAGACAGTCTCGGTATATGACAAGACGGCCAGCCCGACTCAACCCAACCTTATCAAAGTTTGTTCCATTAAACTTTACTTTTCTATAACCTTATCACTAAATCTTTGTTTTCATTTATTTCCCAGGTATCCTCCAAGACCTCCACAACCTGAGGTGCAATCATTAAAATTGCATTATTGCTTTATCCACCGTAAGTGCCACTTCCAATAGTAACTAATCACTAACAAAAAAATTCTTAAAATGCAATCTAGCTCTGTTACTTTCTTATGTGATCAATGTTTCATAAAGCATACTAAAAAATAAATGAATCGTCTATATGAACTTTTGTAAGATCGAGTATACCACAATATGATAAAATAAGATATTTTATCCAAAATCTCATTTGAGAAAAGGAGAGAGAGAAAATCATTGCATTATCTGTCATTTTGAATTGCCTTGAATATGATAATTTAAAATATCTCCTCCAACCCCAGACATTTCAAAATGTCTCGTCTTTTTTCTCTTTTCCCAAAGATATCCCTTCTAATTTTATGGGAACTCAACATTGTTGAGGTCGTCGATGGAGGCCATCACCAGCAATCTCTCTGAATTTCCCACTTTTGTACCAATGAATTTCTCTCCACATACCACCTCTATATCCTATAAAGCTCTTGATTATCTCTTATATGCTCTATTTTCGGTGGTTGAGGAAGCACTTACAATGGCCGAAATTGAGATGAACTTGAGACTTATTATATACACTAACCACAGAGAAAATAACCCTCAACAACATTCTATTTGGACTGCAATTTCCTCCATATGCAACAGTTGAAACGAGACGATTAACATGTTTGTTGTATTGAAACTATGAAGGGAAAGTATTGAA